TTGATCAAATCGGTCATTTGACTCAGGCGTCAGTCATGGGCCCAAGCTAACCGTTGGGTCATTCATTCGCATGCGATGCATGCTGACTGTATACGTCAATGACGATCACATAGCAGACTATAGGCTGGACAGGTAAGTTAGCATTACGTCTGATTGTAGACTAGTCGTCATGCACGGACTGGTCTAGCATGTACGATGTAGACTGATCCTATCTGTCAGTCTGTGTCACACCGTATGCGTTTATTCAATTACTACACTATCCCTGTCCTGCTTATTCTTCTTTCAGTACTTGAGCTACCGTTTGCTCAGGCAGAGATCATAAGATCACGGATACTGAGCTGAACTGCTTCATGCATACACTTTTTGATCCACTGTTAAAGTTGACTGCACTGAGAGACTAGTGGTCATGCTGCCGCCTAGTACAAATGTCGCTCACCCTCTTTGTGGACGGCTAGAAGTTTGGTGTGGAGTCTATCGTTGGGCCAACGACGAGCCTTACGGGGTTGGCGGTCAGCAACATTCTGTAACCCACGCCTCCCTAGAGCCCTTACTCTTTAGCAATCTATAAAAAAATGGAGGCTCCGTCCCGGCTGGGGGGGGGGGGGGAGCGGCGTGGCGGAGCGGGGGTCGGAGGTTACCTCCCCCGGAGCCGCCCCCGCCCGCCGCCCCCTCCTTCCGCCCCTGCGGCCGCCGGGGTGCGGGCCGTGGCGGGGGGCGAGGGGTGCGGGTCTAGGGGGACGGGGAGCCGGCAGGTTGGGGTCCTGCGCGGAGGGCCTTTGAGGAGGAGTCACCGTGACGAGCACAGCGCTGGAGCTGAAATAACCGTGAACCCCGGATAACCGCTCGCCACCCCCTCGTCCGGCCTTTCCTAGGTCGCCGCCGGGCCCCCTCCCAGGCGGGGCTGGTGCCCCTGAGGGCTCTCTCCACAGACACTGAGGCTGGTGCAGAACGGGAAGCCATCGCGTTTGTTAAAACGCATTGGGGTGGGGGTGGGGGGCTCACGTCTATGGTTCAAATAGTTAAAAACTCTCCAAGGAAAAGAAAGCTCTGCCGTTTGGTTCCCACACCAGAGCCCTCTCCGCCCCATCCAACGCCAGCTGCTTCCCTGGGGCCGCAGCGGCCGGGCCCTCCCACCGGCCAGACCTCTCCCCGGAGGTGCGGTCTCCCAGCCTGGCCACGGCTCCGTCCACCACCCCTCCCTTCACGCCCCTCTGGGCGGAGGGTTGGTCACTTTCTTCACTTTCCCAGGACCCTGCTGTACTATTTCTGCCCTCCAGGCAGGACATCTTTCCCAAGAAGCCTGGGGAAACGGAATTCCTTCTGTTAGCTAGTGGGCTGGGAGGCACCTTGACAGGGATAGGGGGTGTGGCCAAGCCCAGAATCCGGGGGCACCTGGGTCACTTCTCAGTTCTTCCTACTCCTATAGCTTAACTTCCATAAAGTTGGAGAATGCACAATACAACTTTAAAAACTTGTTTTATTTATTGATTTTTAGAGGAAGAGAGAGAGAAACATGGATTTGTTGTTCCACTTATTTATGCATTATTAGTTGATTCTTGTATGTGCCCTGACCAGGATCGAATCTGCAATCTTGGTGTACTGGGACGATGCTCTAACCAACTGAGCTACCTGGCCAGGGCCACAATCCTCACAACCTTTTAAGTTCACAGCCATCTAAGTAGAAACCTACATCCTTACTTAGGGGCCCAACACCTTAAAGGTCAGAATTCGTCATCTGGTCCCTGCAATCCTCAGCACAGGCTTCTTCAGAAAAGGAAAAAAGAAAAAAAAAAGAGGCATTTCTGTGAAGGGATTTAGATTCCATAATTTAATTTCTATATAGTGACAGCCATGGGAGTAAATACACAAGATCTTTTGTATTAGTTAATAAAAAAGATGAAAATCAGAAGCAACAAGTGGAAGACCATACTGCTCATGATACATCAGCTACATGGTCAGAAAACCCATTCCTAAACAACAGTTGCTGGTGTCATGGAGTCTTATTGCATTCACCAGGGGAACGGTAGGCTCTGGGCAGGAAGGTATCGTAAGCCCCAATCCTTAACTGGGACTCCTCTTGTTACTTCCTTTGGAGCCAAAGATGGAGGGAGAAAGGGGATTTTTTTTGTTGTTTTTACTTTCATTCTTTTATTTTAGAGAAAGGGAAAGGGAGAAAGAAACTATGATCAGTTGCCTTCCATATACATCCTGACCAGGGATCGAACCCACAACCTGGGTATGTACCCTCACTGGGAATCAAACCCACAACCTTGTGGTGTATGGGATGACGCTTCAACCAACGGAGCCACATCAACCAGGGCAGGAATTCTTCTTTACGACCTCATGACTTCTTGAGACAGATCAGTCCAGCCAGATACAGAGCAAAGAATCTTTGCATCCCCACAGGCCAGTTGCTGGTATCCATCTTTATATTTTTTAAAAATGTAGAAGCCTCAAGGGGTATGGAGGATAGCAAGAAGAATGGCTGCCTTTGCCCCAAACGCATTGGAGGGTGGGGAGGACACTATCTGGGCTCATCAGGATCCTCTGCATTCTGAGAATATCATGCATCCACACCACTATCTTTGGAGGGGGCTAGATGATCGAGTTACAGCTCTGATTCCTCTCTAGGAAGAGAGAGTGAAGATGACTGGGAGACACAGTAGCAATAAGATGGGGTAGAAGAGGACAGAATAACAAATCCAACTGGAAAAGGGGGTTGAGAAGGAGTGGGGGGAGGAAGTATGCTAGGCACACACCTCCAGTGGGTAGAGGAGGTTCCTATACTTGAGACCTCCATTCTCTTGAAATGTCCAGGGTTGACCCAGGTAGAGACATTACCTTCTCCTGGGAATAAAACCTCAGGGATGGGTAGGCATGAAGAAAAGAAAGTTAACATTGGGAATGAACCTTAGACCCCTGGCCTATCATCCCAGCCTACGAAACTGTCACTCCTCCAATGAAGGATTCCAGCGCCAGAAGGGGTGTGTGGTCTTGAGGAGGAGCAGAGCAGTCAACTCCTTCACCTAGCCTTGAGCACTCTGGCCATCCATCTCTGGGCTCCTGTGTCCAGAAGTACAGAGGTGAGGATGGAAGTGGGGTGAGGGAAGATTGGAGAGAGTAGTCCATCCTTGACAGAGACTTTCTCCAGTTTTCTGCATAATCAATCACAAGAGTCCTCTTAGTTGCCACCTCCATGAGGTGCCAGCCTGCTGACCACTCTCCACCCCACCTGTGTGTGTAAGATTGGCCATATCTCATCATGTGTGCATGCCTGCACCCACATCTGTAGTATCTTGAAAGTCTTTCATCCCAGGGCCTACCAGGAAGCAGGTATGCCCCAGTGAGTTCTATAAAGTTATCAGCAAAATTCAGTCACTTAGTGTTCATCCCACAGAACAAAGTGCATCCAGAGTAGTTGCTTGAGCCAGTTCCATCTGTCCAGTCAGGTCCTGAAGACAGCAAACAACCCCCTCCCCCCAGATTCTTCTACTTTTATAGAAACAACAGAACATTTTACAAAAATCAAGGCACTTGGGAGAGAATCAACAGTAACACTCTAATGAAGCAAGCAGACATGTTGAAGGGGAGAAAGAGAGGGAAGAAAACTGGATAAAGGGGAGAAAAGATGATGTATTTCTGAGGGCCAGGAAGAGCCTACTCAATAAGATGGAGTTATTTGGAAGGAAGGAGCCTGTAGCCTGAATTTAGCAGAGGAAGAGAAGTAGTGACCAGAATTTCCATAATTCCCCCCAAGGCTCTCAGAACCCCACCACCTTGAACATAAAGTAGCAGTGACCACGAAATCTCTTAGGCAAAGATGTTGGTAATAAAATCCAGGAATCGCTTAGCATACTGCTCAGGATGGACGGTAGAGATCTCTGCCCCAGCCTACGAGAAGAGGTATGGAACATGGTGTCAGGCCATCCCGCCACTCTTCCGCATTCCTCATCCTCTATTCCACTCCCCACCCTTTCCATACCCAACACTTCATCCTTTTGTCACCCCACTGCTCTGGCACAAGAGACTCTTCCCAAGGAATAGTCAAGATAGGAAAGGAAAGGCCTCCGGGAGCCCTCACCCCATGCTTGACAGTTTTGGCTGCATGAGCTGCTTTCTTCTTGGCATCATACTGCGTCAGGATGTCAATGAGGCCCATGAAATACACCTCCTTCTGGGGGGCCCCTGGAGAGAGTAACCAGCAATGAAGAGCAAGTATAGTCCCAATTCCCTTTCCCCAGAAACCAGTCAGATCTTTGAAAAGCTAACCAGCCTCTCCATCCAGCACCCCAGTCTCTGTCCTACAAGGACTACCCTCCCCACCCTTAAAATTTCCAGGATCTCTCTTACCTTCAGCACTCCGGATGGCGTAGACATCAATGAAGGATTCAAACTCTCCAGGGCCCAGGGGCCGATGAGAAAGCATGTAGCTGCCAATACCCTCAGGGGAGGTGCCATAGGAGCCCACCAGAGCAGGAGGTCCAGTCAGGCCACAGTCCCCATCCCCCTCTGACTCCACCTCCCGCACAGGCCCCTCCTCCTCTGGTTCAGAGCCACGAATTATGTCATGTATGCCCAACAGAAGGCTGTAGTCCATGA